CGTACCCGAAGGTCGTGGGTTCAAATCCTGATGGACCCAGACTTTTTTCAAAAATGGGTCAATGAAAAGTCCTGAGAAGAAATGATGTGATGTTGACCAGGTTTAAAGGATGTTTAAAGGAAAAGGGTCATTTACTTCACTTTTTACTTATGTTGACTGCTTTTTTTTTAATTATCTGATTTCAAACGTCGTTAGATTCCACACTTGTTCTTTTGTTAATGCCAAAACTGTTACAAGTTCGTAAACCTGTTTTCTTCTTCTAATGTTGCTACAGATACTCGAATATTGACTGGTGTCGTCAGTTCATTTTAACTGCGCAGAGAAGATTTTTTTTTTTTTTTAATCACATCTTTGCTGCTTGATGGACAAGCAGATCGTAATTCGCCGTTCGTTCATTTTTGGGTCTAACTTTTTCAAGGTTATCGATTTTTTGCTGCGATGTAAAACCAACAGTGAGTGGACGATTGAACTGTTAGTTCCGCCTGAATCAACCAATGAGATCAGCCGACAGAGAAATTTTTGAGAATGATGGCAATATGGCGTTGGTCTCTGTCGCTGTGAGGCTTGTGTGAACTGCTCAAGGACTTCGGCTGTGTGCCTTTACACCTTGTGTTTTATAATGGACAGTTAGATTTGTGTGTCACTAATTCTAGCCAGAATGAATCGAACAGAAGGACGCAAGGAGCCGTATTTTTATGATCCGAGAGTGAGAAGGTTAGTGGTGTGTTACAGTGGACAAGTACAACTACAACATTGTTTGAAAATAAAGGAAGTTTCACAGTTAGAAATAATTGAACACAGCGGTTTTGAAGTTTAATTAAACTTAAAACTAGTAACACACCAGTTGCACAAGTTAGATTGTAGGTTCAGTACTTAAATACTTGTTTGTCGTATGCAGTGGATAAATTTCTGAAGTCGTGGTAATCTGGTAATGTAATAATAATTGTGGCTAGCCATAATTGTTAATTATTCAGTCCCGGTAGTTTTGGGGCGGTGGTGCGTGCTCGTTAGGTTCGAGCAATAACTAATATTAACAACCGAACGGGCAAAGGAAAGGTTAGTCTGAAGATTAATTAATGAGACTGCTTGGCTGATAACAGAAAATACAATTTTTTTAAATAATAAAATGAAAATAGTGTTTTAAGAAAAAAATAATCCTTTTTTTTTTTTGTTCACAGTTCCTCTTGAAAATGACGTAAACTTAAAGAAAATTAGGAAATATTCCAACTATTAAACCAGTTTGACCTGGCAGACCAAGCCCACAACCCCAGTTAAGATACTAATGAACAGTAATGATGTACAGTAATACTAAAATTATTTACCAAAATATTTACAGTAAAAACTTGTTAACACAAATTCCAAAAAAGTGGGACTGCTTGCTTCAAAGATCCTCAAAATTATCTGAGTTCTGTACGATGCTTTTATGGTAGACATTCAGCTGCTCTGCTGAGAAACTGAACTGTAGGAGATAAAACATTATGCGGTGGAGTCAGTCAGTTTCAACTTGGATACTGTTTAATATTTTCACAGTAAACCCCTTAAATAGTCTTTGGCTTAGGTGTTGCAAATGCGGGCTCTCCTTGCAATAACGGTCGCTAGTTGGACGGCGACAGCCGCTTTGTCGGAGTTCAGTCCCCTGGCTGCATTGTAATTATGGAGTGGAAAAGAGGGAACGAAACAAATGACATAATTACGGGTAGGGTTTCTGTTAGGGTTAGGGTAACACATGTAACGTCGAGTACTTACCCATAATGACGGCCGCTATATCTGATAATTTTGACACAGGAGTTGCAAATAATGGCCGAAAATGTGCTTCTTGTGGCAGTGGCGCCATTGGAAGTCTGCTAAATATGACGGCAATAGCGCCTGGCTAGTGCCCAATTGGTGCAGAATTTTGCGTTACTTTGTTTTGTGATTCGTGCCTTGTCCACTCCATAAGTGCACTGCAGCCAGGGGACTGAACTCCGACTAAGCGGCCGTCGCAGTCCAAGTAGCGACCGTTATTGCAAGGAAAACCCAAATGCACTTTGTAATGCTGAGGTACTGAGTTCAATCCCAGTTGCAGGCATTTTGGCAGCCTGTCTACTCAGTTTAGTTCAACAGTGGCAAACAACTGAAGTTGAAATCTTACAAAAATCACAAACAGTCACACAGTACTCACAATGCTGGGGTTGGTTCTGCAATGTCCTTTAAAGAATATACTTTATATAGATAAAGCTTGGTTAAATTGTGTCAGTCTGTCAGAATTGGATCAATATCAGTTTATAACTATTCTATTGAATAACAGATGACTGAAGTTTTGGGCTAAAGTTTTCTGTAGGATCATGCATATTTTTTTTTTTAATAAAGAGTCAGTATTCCTCATATGTGTATGCTTGCTGACATCAGTGAGAACTGCACTTATCTTATTAATGAACACCTAGTGTTAGTGTTTTAAAGGGATGTTTGTTAATTTAAAACCCCCCCCCCCCCCCCCCACCCCCTTTTTTAAAAAACAAAATTCATCAATCAATAAAAATTTACTGTTATTAGTGCTAACTGTGCTAATGCTTATTTTAAAACTCATATGTTCTAACAGTTTTGACATTTATATCATACATTCTACCAGTACATCTGTCTCTTATTTTTTTTTTTTCAGTCTTCATTTCTTCAAGCACACACTGAATCATCTGTAAAAATTGCCCCTATTTATTAGCATAAAAGGAAACATCCATCTTTATCTACTTTTGTGCAAGCATAGTTTTTTTGCTGCCTTTTAGTCTACAGGGTTTGTGAAAAGTAACAAAACACACATCTTCATGGTTGCAAAGTAACAATACACATATCTGCCTGGTTGCAGAGTAACTATAGACCTATCTAATTCTTCGAAAAAGTAACTACTACTGTAGGTGAATAAAATAAATAAAAAAGATAAGGCATTCAAAACATCTTTTGCAATTGGCAAATGACACAAATACTGTACACACAGCATACACAAATAAAATATCATCTGTTAACAATGTACATTTTTCTTTTTCATCACCATGTATATTTAGTGTTTCTTGTACTCCTATACGTGATTAATTTTGCTTTTACCTTGATTACAACTCACGTTTTCGGACCCATAAAGAGAGTGACTTCCCTTCCTATTCATAAATCACTGTCGCACGGCTTGTCCTATGTTGTGGGGGTGTCATGCTACGCTGCATGCAGTCGTGGGATGTAGGCTGCACTTTCTCATGGGACGCAGAGGGGTTAGGGCCAGTCCTGCATGTTTCGGGAATGTTAAAAGCGCTATCAACCTGTAATATAGAACGTGCGATATCACTAATCATGAGACCCCCACAACAAAGCACAAGTTGCGTTACACCGATTTATGAATGGGAGGGGAAGTTACTCTTTTTCTGGGCCTGAAAACGTGAGATGTACCTTACCTTGACTACAAGTAGTTCATGGAGGTGATGACAGTAACAAAAGCAATAATGTGGCTAGAGAGACAAATGTTTTCCATGTGTACTTTCTAACTGATTCCATGAACAGGCTGAAGAAGATTTGACAGAATTGATTTAGAAGCAGTGGTTGTAGTCTCTGAGGAAATCTCACACACACACAAATTAATTTTTGTGCCAGGACATTCTGGGGTAAGAGGAAACAAACAAGCAGATTGGCTTTCTGTCAGGGCCACAGTAGGCACAGGAAAAGCAGTGGACTGGGCGGATGTGCTCAGTGCATTCCTGGAGGCAGGACGAGTAGATAATTCATGAGAGCAGGAAAAAAGGTGAATGGGAACTTGTCAAAAGAGGTGTCAGAAATGAACAAAGTACAGGTAACCAAAACTGGAGATACTGAAGAATCTGAGTGCTTATGGACTGGTGTGATGAGTATGGTCAGGTGATTAACCATCATCATCACTTGTAAGACGCATACAAATGTCCGTGATTGTAATTTTAAGGGAACACATTTAATTCTAAGAAGAGCCAAGCTTTAAAGTATATCTTTAGTTAGAGGTAATATAATTCAACACTAGGTCTATTCCTTCTGAACAACATTATTGTCATAACCAGTATACACAGTTTTTGTTTTGTTTCTGTACGACTTTGTAGTGCAGTCTTTAATTGACATTATGATGTACAGTTGGGAATCAGAATGAATTCAATGCAGTGAGAGTGGGCACGTTCAGGGAAACAACTAAAATCTTGTAGTCATTGCCGAGTACAGTGTGATTTGTGGCAGCCGGACATAAGCAAAATTGCAGTGTATGTGTACACAATTTGTTTGTGACAAGGACATACGCAGCCAAAAGCATGTACACCTTATTTAAAAGGATTACATAATCTTGTATGAGTTATTAAGGGTATACTCCTTTTGTGGGTTCCGGGTCCCTTTGATGGAGGGTGATAAAATAGGCTCGCTGTCCCTCTAACAAGCGGGTCGTGAAGATGACTAAGTAAGATTGTTTTATTCAAAGTCAGGGTGCATCTGCCTGAGAGATGAGGAACCAACAGACTGCATTCATATAAGCCAGATCTGTGAAATGGATTTGCATACAAGAGTCCAATTCTGGAGCAAGGGGAAAGTCTGGCTCCAGAAGTGGATGAAAAACCAGAATTTTCCGACAGCTTGTAGCCAGTGGATGTGAGAAAGCAAACTTCGCGAAAAGCTCTGTTGTTAGTCTGCCTCCAGAACCTGAGTTTTGCCTCACATTCGTTTCACTCCTGTGGCTTTTGTGTGTGCAGACACTTGATTCTTTGCCTCTTAGGCATATGTACTCTGACCTCAAATAATTCAGAAGTTCAAGCTTATTTGGGAGGTGGTGGGTCTGTTCTTGTTTTCCCCCACACTTGGACCCTGGAACCCACATGATGAAATTTAAAGTATTTTATGTGTATACGCTGAATTTATATTCTGCATTATGTTGATCTCCCAGATTTGATGGTAACCGGCTAGTAAATCATAGGATGTGTACATTCATACTCATATTTAGTGCACTCATGCTCATATTTATTCTTCTCCCCCTACAGAGAACCTAGAAAGATTGTATTGAAGAAAGGATCAACAGGGTTAGGATTTAATATTGTGGGAGGGGAGGATGGAGAGGGGATTTTTGTGTCCTTCATCTTGGCTGGAGGCCCGGCTGATCTGTCTGGAGAGTTGCGGCGAGGGGATCAGATTATCTCTGTGAGTATTGTTGCATATATTTGTGTGTTGTGATTGTCAGCATCAAACTACTGTCTTTGTTAGTAGATGCACACAGCTCCTGTGTGGGTTGTGTGTGTGTGGGGGGGGGGGGGGGGAAATAGACCTGCTGCAAGTTGTATCATCATCATAAACCACTTCTGTCGTTAAGCGTCGTGGGGAGGAATAATTTGCCATCCAGTGCACGTTGGCTGCCACTGGCTGTTGTCATGACGTGAAGGCGTAGAGTGTCTTTAATTTTGTTGACTATTTTTTTTATTACTTTGAAGTTGCAATGCATCTACCTGAAAGTTGAGGAACCAACAGTCTGCACAGATAAGCCAGATATATAAAACAGATGTGCATGCAAAACTCAAGTTATAAAACAAGGCTAAATTAAAGATGTAGATAGGAGAGTAGATGAGCAGCCAAAACATTTCGCCCAAGTTTGCAGCCGGTGAGCGCAAAGAAGATTTACTCATTCACGAGAGAGCAAGTTTTTTTTTAATAACTTATACATTGTATGTTTTGGGTGGATATTTGTGGAAAGACAGCAGACAATCGAAAATTCTGATGAAACAGATGTGCATTATAATTTGTGTATGAATGTTCAATTGTTTTAAGTTGTAGTGTGTGCTTGGTCAAGTGCTACAGGTATCTTCATGCCTGAGGTCAGGATCTTCTGATTCATATCAGAAAGTTAGTCTAGACACTGTTCCAGAGATCACCAGAGCATTTTCCTGGGGCATCCCTGAGAAGAAAAAAAAGAAGATCCCTGAGACTTGTCACTGGAAAAAGAATTGCGTGTTTTGTGTGCCGCTGTCCGCAGGGGACTAGCCATTGTTTGCAGGCTAGACCATATGTGATAAAACCTCTTGACTTTGCCTTTTTATTTTTTATATTCAGTCTGTTGATTGGGACATTTTGGTATGCTAAAGGATTCTGACTCTAAGAAAGAGGCAGTCAGGTGTTCGGTCATGTGATGAGAATAGAGGCGTTAGGGAACATTGTGATGACTAGAAAGATTGATATTAGCAGAGGCAGACTAAGAGAGACAATGCTGGGTGGCCTGAAGCGATGAAATAGTAGATTATCATCACACTGGAATTTATTGAAAATACCAAAGACAGATCTGTGGAGAGACGTGAGCATCTACGCCGCTGGGCAGGACACATGATGATAATCTGATTCCAAAGAATACCATCTTTGGAGAGAGAGAAGCAAATGAGGCACTCTCATTTTAGAGAAATTGGACAGTCAAAAAATGTTAAGCATGTTATGAGGAGAAATAAAACTTCAGAGGTTAGTGATACCTGACAAACTTTGTTGGAAAGAGAGGAGGCGAAGGCCTGAATATCTTGACCACATGGCTTTATCAAGTATGGTAGTGTGAGCTGGTAAATTATGACCGACTATGATGATAGTGTATGCTGGTAAATTATGACCAGCTATGATGATAGTGTGTGTTGGTAAATTATGACCAACGGTGATGATAGTGTGTGCTGATAAATTATGACCAATGGTGATGACATTGTGTGCTGGTAAATTGTGACCAACCGTGATGACAGCGTGTGCTTGTAAATTGTGACCAACCGTGATGATAGTGTGTGCTTGTAAATTGTGACCAGCCATGATGATAGTGTGTGCTTGTAAATTGTGACCAGCCATGCTTATTGGCACAGCACATGAGGATTTGGGATTCTGGGGAAAGGTAGTTTGTTGTACTCCGTCACTTTTGGGGTCCTGGAGGGCGTCATGTTTGATGCGGTCTCATTGACACATTATTTGTTTTATGCAGGTGAATGGAGTGGATTTAAGACATGCAACTCACGAAGAGGCAGCCCAGGCACTCAAGCGAGCAGGGGACACAGTGGAGATTGTAGCTCAGTACAGACCTGAAGGTATGAGAACAATGTTGTTAGGTGACTCGGAGTGGACACTCGCACGTACAAACTGAACCTTACCTCTGGTGGGTCATAGTCTTTTGATAGTCAGCTTAACTTTTTTATCATATCAGGGGTTTGGCTGTGTTTTGGAAATTTTGCGTTGGTATTTGTATCTTTGCCAAATTGTAACAGGCATTGTCGATTTTAGGAACAGGAAGCACTCTTGTGTGGAGCTTTTATTTGCAAAGACCTTTGGTGGTGTAATTTGTGTGTGTGTGTGTGTGTCGCCTAAATAAAGATCACATTATATCGTAAAAGAAGGTTTAAAAGATAATAAAGTTTGTTTAGAGTTGTTAATTAATACATAAATACTATAGGAGTGAACAGAAAAGATAAAAATCAGTAATGAGGTCATACAAGATGAAAGTCGGCACAGAACTAATTCTAAATTAAATACAGAGACATCAAATCAAATCGTTTGCTCACTTGGGGAGAATGCCTTTTAATGCTATACCATATAAGGCAAATACCAAACGAGGAGAGGGACATAGAGCAAGAAGCAGACTTAAGAACCACAAGGGAAGATAACATCAGAACAACTTTGCAGCACCACAATGTGTCAATGGCTGAAGCAGCCAAAAGCGCATGAAGCAGGGCGTTTTATCTCCCTCAACACCCAAAGTGTTACAAGAGGATGTTAAGGAGAAGAAGAAATTAATACCTGCAGATGAAACATTTGTGGTGAAATACCTGGTGGTCGTGGTGGTTCCCTAAATCAGCAGTGTTGTCAGATCTGGATGAGGTTACCAGTGTGAATTTAATAAGCCATCATTGTGATATCTGTGTTGCCCGCTGATAGGCTCTGGATCCATTACGATGTGTTGACTTGCTGAATATTTTGGAAGGATTGTGTGTGTATTTGCCTGTAAACTCGAATTGTTTACTATACACAATTTTTTTTGTGTTGTGTGATTTCTTCTTTTATTAGAGTTAGTAGTAACTTTTGATAGATTTTCCTATTTGAGTATTAAAATAATATAATCAAATTACAGTAATTCTTTTGTAATTGTACATCTTAAATGAGAGGCGTCCATGGCTTAGATGTTGCGAGCCCAACTCGTAACTCATAATGTACCGCGATCGAAACCCAGTGCTGTGGCTGCATGGGTTTTTATTGTGATGTGGGGCATCGCAGGTTAAACCAAGATGTATGTTCTAAGAAAGTAAAGATGGTCGACGTAATGCTCTTTCCAAATGCCTAACGCGTGAAAATGGATCTTTACTTTATTATTTACATCTTAAATGGTAAAAGGCACACTGTTAGGAATGGCTGGGGTGGAGAAAAGGTGCCCTCTCCATCACACCAATCTCATGAAGCCCATATTCTGTTTGTTTGAGACAGTATATCTATGCTGAAGCTATTTTCATAGATCTTTTGTGTATTCTTGCCTTGGCTCCACAGGTTATCATAGATTTATACTTTTCTTTTTAAGTGGGAATATGGAGGGGGGGGGGGGGGGGGGGGCATTTCTCTAGCATACTTTAAATTATTTTAAAATTATTTATGTGCTGGTATTTGTTACATCAATCTGAGTTTCCTGAGATGTTTTGGCCTCTAGACTATCAGGCACACTCGTGTATATGTGCGTCTATAAAGGCGGGCAGGTCTCGCAGGTCACACTTGCCATTGCCGTGGGCAATCACTCCTCGTAGCATAATATAAGACTGCCATCTGGAAAGACTGAAAGACATATAGATCAAATTGCTCTTGTCTGACATGATGAGTTATGCCATAGTGAGAATACCTATTGTTTACATAGCATTTTATCACTCACTTAGGGGTGTGTTCAGGTTTTTGTGTGTATGGGGTTTTAATTTATAGAATCAGCTCATTTCTTTTCACTGTTTTCTTCTTTCTTTCTTTTTTCCTGTTGGTAAGATATAACATGTCTGCGTATGCATATATTTTTTGCAGTGGTAATTTTGTTAGTATTTAACCATAGACTTCTTAGTGCCTTTGTTTTAAATATCAGTTGCTGATGTCATGCGCTATTTATATTCTTTATTTTGTTTGAAATATATCTTTTGAGACCATAGGTGAGAAACAAAAACAATAAAAGTTGTATAGCTCATTCAGCTCAAGTATTTTGTCATCTTATGTTTTTTTGTCAGCCCTGCCTGTTCAGATGCTTTAAAAAGATAACGTTTTTATATTTTATTCATCGTATTCCCGTTTTAATTAACATTTGATTGTTATTTTGATTTGTTTATAGGGGCATTTATTCAAGTAGTGGCTGTTAATGCATATAGTTTCATGCATTCTTTTCTGTTTGGTTGATTTCCTTCTGCGGTTTTTATTTGCTTATTCAGTTGTTCATTTGTTAACGTTTATATTAGCACACTTTATTGACTGACATATTTTGCGATACCTCGTCAGGTGTACATAGATACATCCACTTATAATGAAGCAGAGAACGTAAATCCTTCCTACTACTACTGTGTTTGCTTTTAAAGGAGCAGCCGGCATGTTGTGGGTTATAACATGGATGCAGTATCTGTGCATTTGGGCCCAACACATCTGATTTCAGCAGACTTGTAATTACTTGCCTTTTATAACATACTTACAGGTGGCTGCGTGATCTCGAGGCATGGTGTCCATCTCGGATGCTAGAGGTTCCGGGTTCAATTCTCGGTAACGGCTGGGCTTTTTTTCACATTGACTTGGACTTCTAGTAACTCCATGGGTCTCTCGGTAGTGAGATCAGACTCCCGTGTGTATTGTTGCGCATTAAAAAAATCCCTGTGCCGTTGGAAATAGAAAAGAGTAGCCTAACCGCGCTGCCCAGGCAGAATTTTGAGTTAAAAATCTACTCAAAGTATTTCAGGGTCTCGTCGGTGCTACAGAGCCCGTGCACTGTGCTGAGCTTCTTTGGACTCAGACTTGAGTTAGAAGAAGAACTGAGTACTTATGTGTGCCATGATGTTGATCCGTTGTTCAAATCTTAAACCTATAACATGCTTATTAGGGGGTCATTGGGTCTATTCTTTCCTTTCCCAGAGTAGGACCATTCTGTTCAAATATATAGCACATTGTCTATTGTTACACAGTAAATCTTAGCAACTAGAGACAACATGATATATGTTTCTATGGAAAGGATTCATGTTTTCTGCTTCATTATGTGTTGATGTAACTCTAGTACTGCACCCGAGGAGGTAGTGTGAAACATACCTGGCCATAAATTGTCCACTATATTGTTTGCATCTAGGTTATTAAAATTCACAACAGGAAAGCATTGTTTTTAATTCGTATTAGTGTTCAGTGTTTGTAAGCTCCTCATTGTAAATTTAATTAAGGGGCACAGTTCTGCATAAGGCAGTTGCTTTAGGTGTCAAAACCAACAGTCACCACCAGAGATGCAGTTTGTCGTTGATGGTAGTAGTCACTCATGATAAGTTGGCTATGCACATGTAGAAACTATTACAAAAGGTGTTTTGCCAGCCTACATGTAAACCAGCTGCTGGCCATATTGAATACCAGAACTCAGCTGCTGCACAAATGAAAGGTATCTCACGTGAAAACACAGCTCACAATGCGGCACCAAGCATTTAACTCAGTAGCTTAGGAGCGAAACCATAGACCTCTCTTCTTATGTGAAAACTGCATTAGCAAAGCGCTATCAAAAGCAAAAATAACGTCGAAGCTAAACATTCTGTCATGTCTATTCTTCCATAGTGGACCGTAAGTCGGCCTCTGGAAAAAAAAATGGATAGTCAGCGGTAAATTTTAACTTGACATATCCATTTAAGTACCAACACAAACTTTTTCTGACGCATGAAGTCAGTTTTAACTTGGCCGTCTTTTTGGGTGTTAACACAGGCTTTTTCATGGGTTGTCTGTAGTACTTTTGTTTAAGGGGCACTACACGGCATTTTTTCCAATTTATGACAAAAATATCACTTTTTCAATGTGTTGATTTTGGTAATATTTGGCATTCGTAGAATAGATTACACACAAAATTTGTGTCATTTTAAAACAATTTAGCATTGAAAAGTTAATACTAAAGACACCAACCCATGCACTTTTTTAAGATAAAAAAAAAAGTTTTTAAGTCACTTTTCTAACAATTCTATTTTTGTTTGTTGTGTGTGGGATCTCCTAAAATCTCAGCTAATATAAAGACTAGAGACGGTGAAATTTGGTGTGGATACTCCTAACACAATATTATATGGTCAGATCTATTTAAAATGACAGTTTATTAAGTAATTTGTAAAAAAAAATTTGATTATTATCTTTAAAAGCTAAATTTTTGTATTTTTTCAACATACCTAAATTTTAATATTCTAAAAAAAATATTTAGAAACATCTTTGAAGTAAATTAACTAGACCTGACCCTAAACATAGGTTTAAAGTTTATGAATCAATCATTTGTTTCTCAATACCTCTGTTTTTTTTTGTTGTTGAAATTTTAGCTGTCTTAATACATGTTTTTTCATCAAGATGGCGGCTGTTGCCATGGCAACCATTTTTTTTTTTTTACTTGAGTTGTACAAATGTATCAACATACATCCCTACAAATGACCATTATAAAATAATTGGTCTAACATTGTAAATTTAAAAAAAAAAATTTTTTTTCCTGTAGTGACCTCTTGACATACTGTTTGAATATAAATAAAAGCTTTTTCTTATGTGGGTAGTCAGTGGTAAACTGGTTTAATGTTACCTATCTCTGAGTACAGCACAATCTTTTTCATGGATAGTCAGTGATAAATTGGTTTAACTTTACATATCTGTTTGAGAACTGAGACATGCTTTTTCGTGTTTTTTTTTTTCTGTCCCCCAATGGAGCATAGGCCCTCAGACCAACTCACACCAGATCGTTCTGTCCTTCACTATTGCATGCAGATCACCTGCCCATCGTTTTTTAGCTTAGCTCTCTAACTTTCTTTGCCATGTATTTTTTTGGGTCTGCCTTTATTAAAATGTCCCTGTGGGCTCCAGCGCATAGGCATTCTAGTTACACTGTTTTCATGTCTTTTTAACATGTGACATATCCTATGCCAGTTTTTTTTTTTTTTTTTTCGTCACCTCTTGGTCCACTGGATCTTCTTAAGTTATCTTAACATAGCTCAACATTAGTGATTCTATCATACCATTTAATCTCCCCCACCCCCCCATTCTTCTGTGTGCCCTTTAATGAATGTTTGTAGTTTATTAGTAATTGTTTCAGTTGTTCTCCATGTCGGAGTACTAAAGTGAATCTTATCAGAACTATTGTTTTGACAACACTATGCTATCAGTGCCAAGTGTGGACACTTACATTCTCTAATGAATGTAAAATTGTGACAACAGAGATAAAGTGCCTTAAAAGAGCTGCAGGAGTTTTAAGGAAAGACCAGATGAATGCTGGGGATAAAGCCAGTTTTACAGGTCATCAAAGAACAACAAATGAGGTGGTTTGGACGCACCTAACAAGAATGCCCTGGTACTGTCTACCACAGTGAGCCATACAACAGGTATAGAGTGAGCGGAAGACCTCCGAAAATATAGATTAATGTCATTAAGAACAGCCTTACAGAAAAGAACATCAGTCTTGACAGAGCTCATCAATGTACCCCCCCCCCCCCCCCCCCCCCCCCCCCCCCCCCCCCCCCCCCCCCCCCCCCCCCCCCCCCCCCACAATCGTTGACACTTTACTGAGGTACAGGGTGGAAGAGAAGAAGAAGTTCTTCATGTTTCCTTTCCATACAGTGGTACTGATTTGACATTATAATATTAGAATTCAACATTTTAAGTTTAGTATTTTAATTTCATTTCACCTCCACAAATTTCCTGATGCTATGAAAGCTCATTTTGTATTAATATTTTAATATCTCTATCAGTTCCCTCATCTTTGACTACATTACTGTCAAATAGATGTATGACTCCACACATAGAAGTGGAATACTATCAGGAGAAACCAGATTACTATTTGCCTGGTTTATTCTCATCCTTAACGAGCCCTTTTGGATTTCTAGACATAGTTGTGATCTCACATCAAGTATATTTAATTTATCTTGCATCTGGTTTTTTTTAAGGCATCATCATATGGCAGGTCCTTTGCTAACGTCGCTGTCATCACGGTCTGCATGAAACAACTTGGTCTCTCTCCAGCTCTTCCACCTTATGTACTTTCATATTCAAGGAGTTACATATCCTGTGCCCATCTTTTTGTTGATCAGCCCCTGCCCCTCCTTCCTGGCACCATGCCTTCGGCTAGTATTGTTTACGATCCGCTTTGTTGCTTAATATAATAAAAACTGTTTAGCTTCCTAAACAAGATGCTGTATTAGTCTCCCTTGATGTTCAGATCTTTTAAAATGTTAATATTTCTTCTCTTGTCCATGATATTCTGAGAGTCTTAGAATTTCAGCTCAAAGGCCTCTTTTTTCCATCTTAAGGACTGGGAGATAGTCCACGATTTTTCCTGGGCAACTCTGTGGTAAATTGGTTTAACTTGACATACCTATTTGAGTACTTATACCAGCTTTTTCTGATGTGGGTAAGCGGTAAAGTGGTTGAATTTGATCTCCATATTCAAGTACTAACACAATCTTGCACTTACAAAGACACTGTTGTACTTGTTTCATGAATGTAACTGCAGAGATCAGTTTGTATGCCATGGCTAAGATAGTGTTCTCTTGTTGTTTCAGATTACAACAGGTTTGAAGCAAAGATTCAAGATCTGAGAGAGCAGATGATGAACACAAGCACTGGAAGTCTACGCACCACACAGAAAAAGACACTGTTTGTCAGGTACTGTTGGGTTTTGGTTGCCTTGTATTGTAGAGATTAGAACAAGAAATTCCTGGGCAAAGTTAGCCTAATGCAAAATATGAGTTTTCTCTCACCACTAACAGGATGCCAATTGCAAAAGAGAAAGAAAGAAAAACAGAAGGTAAAGGTAAAGTCAGGATATGTGAACCAGCGGCATTGCACAAGGTTATGATCCATAAGTGCTCTGCCACCAATTTGGACAGCTGATAAGAAACTGTCTGCCTGTGTCGCCGTCTGCACGAAAACTCCGTAGCTACAGCGACGTTCCTCCATTTACCCCATAGTGTTAACTCTGGAACCTATTTCCTAGAGGCTGGGTAAACCCCGGGAACCATCCGGTTTCAAACAACGGCCGTAGGCTGCAGAGAGTGCCAGCTGGATTTGAATGTGAGTCTCCTATCGAAACACAGAAGGAAAAGAATAGACATGTCAACCTTAGGGTCTTCCAGGGGTCATATGGGTCATGTTTGCATTATCATGAGGTCCACACATGACAACTAGTTGAAACCATCTGATACCAAAACACTGTGCACGCAAAGGGCCTGTACTGTTGCAAATTTGTAAAACAGTGAACAATAAGCTGAGAAACATCTAATGGTTGTGGAATTATAGTTTCTGGGAAAAGTGCAGGGTGCCCATGGATGGGTAGAAGAAAAAAATAAGCCAGTCCTCCTACAGACCAATGAAAATTAAATTTTTTCTACAGTCAAGATTATTTGCACATATTATGAGAAGAAATAAACTTGAGAACTTAATGGTGACTTGCAGGGTTGATATGAGTGAAGCATATTATGAGAAAAAAATAACTTCAAAACTTGGTAGAAACTTGCAGAGTTGATGGAAAAAGAGCAAAGTGTAGAGAGAGAGAATACCTGGATGCTTGACCGCCTTAAGGGCCACATATACAGAGAGAGAGAGAGACCTTGTGACTGTGAGATTGGAGATTATGGCTACATGAGCTGATTGGCATGGCACATGATTATGATTTTTATACAGTGTTTGTATTTTGTAAACAGGAAGTTCAGATATGTGTGTTGTCCCTATTCTTTTCAAGACAAAACTGTTTTAGTAAGTAATGCTTGGACTGGAATGTGACTCGAATAGAAGTAAACAGGATAAAGATTGTTAGCAGCCACTGAATTGAGTTGAGAACTGACACCACAGTGTTTGTGCATGTGCAGAGATGCTTTGCCCCACCCCATCAGCATATGTGGCTTAATTAGGAGTTGCAAATATGCTTTCTAATACTGGGACACCCAGTTCGATTGCAGCTGGGGGCAATTTGGCAGCAGTCTGCTTTTCTTGATTTTGGCAGTAGAGCAGACCATTCAGAAAGCAGTGGCAAATTACTGAATGTAAAAATTGCCTAGTAAGATCACAGACAGCTGACGAATGCTAGAGTTGGTTTGGAATGTCCTTTAAATAATACTTCTTCAGCGATCTCTAGTCGTGTGCTGTGTTGCCATAAACTGGGATGTCATCTCAATGTCTCTTGGGTTTCCCTAAAGCTCTACTGGTACTGGATGTGGTCACATGTTGCTTTGCAGCTCCTTCGGGAGAGGACTGGCCGAATGCTGTTTTTCTCCTACCTGATGTATATGAGTGTTGAGTCTGCAGTCACAGTGCTCTGATTGACTGAACAAAGCATTTCCTCAATAAACGGACCAATGAAAATGTGTCTTTTATGCTGTGAGCCATGAAAATTTGTTGTATAGGCCTCATCACACGGAACAATTTACAACTTAAATGAAGTCTCTAAGTCAACTACAAGTAGAATTTTTTTTTTTTTAAACAGTTTTGCATATGTAATGAGCTTTCGAGCATCAATAAATAAGTTATACAGGCTTCGGCAAATGTAGAAATAGAGCTTCAAAACATTTCTTTTAAAACCCTGTTTGCACATCTGTTTTCTACTATGGATAATTGTCAATTATGTACGGAAACCCAAAATGGTCAAATTTTATGATTTCAGCTTGGTCCCTCCACTTAATTATTCTGTGTTGTGAATAAATTTAACGTTTTGGGCATTACTGAGTTTCTTCCTCATGTGTAACTTCTCTGCCATCAGAGCCCTGTTTGATTACGATCCAAGCAAGGATTCAGGATTACCCAGTAGAGGATTGGCTTTCCACTATGGTGACATACTCCATGTGACGAATGCCAGTGATGATGAATGGTGGCAGGCAAAGAGAGTGACCTCTGTGGGTGACGAGGAAGGCATGGGAATTATCCCTAGCAAACAAAGGTATGTCTCAATGTGTGCATGCACGTGCCTCATATGTTTATTCCTAAACTCTTTTAGTTCCAACCAGTGGTTACTTATATCCAATTTCTGCGCCTAGGGAGTCAAATCTTTATGCAGTAAATAATTAGCGTGAAACGGTTAAATAGAAACAGAATAAGACAGAAGCAGATAAACAAATAATTCAGATACAGATTATATACTGTATGTTTGTCTTCTTCTTCGATCCTTGTTAGAAAACCTATATCAGGAGGCTTTTGTGGTAGCTGTCGTGCAGTCTATATCCTCTCGTGTACCACACCGTTTTGTCTTGGGTAGGAGCAGGCCAGATTGCATCTCTGTTGACAGTGTACAGGTGACAGTATTGGAACACATGATCAGCATTTTCTGGTGCCATGCTACAGGGGAACGTCTCAATGTTTCCTGCCCCCAAAAATGTGAACATGTGCCAAGTCTTTCTGTCCTTTGCTTTACATGCAGCTCACCCCGTCGCCTCTTGGTCTTTTTAACTCCTCTCCCTAGTTCCCTTCTCCATGTGTTATTGGTCTGTCTTTACTCTGTTAACCCTATGGGTTCCAGTTCAAAGAGATACTAGATATATTGTTATCAGATTTTCTCAATGTGTGCCATATCCACACCAGCATCTTTTCCCCACCCCTCCACTAAATTTTTTTTAAAGTTTTTCCAAAAGCTCTTTATTGGTGATTCAAAAAGATTTCATCGCATATTGAGCTGGGATGAGCAGTTACCTTCCTTATTTTCCTTCCTTACTAGGCAGTTACAGAAAAAAAATTATGACAATTTCACAGTTATTTTATGAGAATAGATCACCCTAGAGATGCTGATTTTAAAAAAAGGGTCTTGTAAAGCTTTTGCAATAAAGTCTTAACACTTTCCTTTCTTGGTGAACAGGCTTGTGCTTAATGGTTATGTCAATTTTGAGAAATATATGATTGACGTGTGCTGGTAGTTAGTCTTTCCACCAGTTATATCATATCTAAACATGTTTTTGTTTTTTGTTTTCTGTCAGGGTGGAAAGAAAGGAAAGAGCAAGATTAAAAAATGTCAAATTTACTGGCAAGAACAGTACAAATACAGACAAGGTTTGCACATTTGAAATATTTTTGTTGCAGTGTACCTGTTATAAATCTCTTTAATTTCCACATAGTTCCAGTCTTATAATTTTAATCACCGTCCATGGGTTGATTTGGGGGGCGGGGGGAGGTGTAGATTTACAAGGTTAAGGCTTCGGTTTGTTACAAGAGGCCATAAGTCTTGTCCCCTGACTTTGACAGAGTATCAGGGGAAAGTTTAAAGTCACTGTTCTTCTATATAATCACATCTGTGCAGACTGCACATAATTTCTCTGTATCTTCTGACTGTAGCCGGTTTGCAAGACTGTACATAAATTCGGTTGGTGAATCAGGTGTCATAATAACACACTCACTTTGAACTGCAGCATAACAATTTTGGTGGTTAAACAAGATTATACATGACAATTTAATCATGTGCAATGCAGTCTTGGGGGGGGGGGGGGGGGGGGGGGGGGGGGGGGGGGGGGGGGGGGGGGGGGGGGGGGGGGGGGGTGTCAGTCAGTTGTGTCATCTGCAGTGAATCTCAAGCACTACCTGTTGCCAGGTTGTACAGTTTTTTTGGACAGCTGTTTGTCCAACTGTTTAGTATTTGCCACCTGTATTACCGTCTTGGCTTGCCTGCTTTTAGCTGTTTCCCTCCAATTGATTTTTTTTTCAAAAGACTTGTGTTATGCCTTTTAATGTGGCCAAAATATTTCATTTGTCTTATCTTCAGATTGTTGGGATATAAAGTAATTAATATTATTTGGCAGGTTGATTGCATTGGTTGATTTATTTAACTTATGAGGAGAGACGTAGACCTAGACCACAGTGAAAAGATAAAATTGCAGAAACTCTACAACAGTATGAAGTGTCTGTGGTTGAGGCGGCCGGAAGAACAAGAACCGAACTATTTTTCTCCCTCAATATTACAGGGGAGACGTAGAAGAGGGTAACAAAGATGATTCTAAAATGACGGCGTCAAGAAATGAACAGGATTAAATTATTGTACACTTCTTCAACAAGTAGAAAACAGCAAAAGATGTTTGGTTTTGTGTGCTTGTGCTTTGTTGCTGTACCTCCATGACTCTAACAGGTCAAGGGTTATGTAATCTCCCTCGGTACTCACTGAAGGTTATATTTTGTGTTCACTGACCAACAAACACTGATGCCATATGTATGGGTATCTTATAATGCCTGAGACTTTTCACTTAGTGGGTGCCTGTTAAGAAAAAAATCATGTTTAAGTAGAAAGTGCAGTATGTTTATGTTCTTTGTATGTGCAGCCAGTTCCGGCCTCAGCAGCAGCAAATGACAGAAAGAAAAAGAATTTCTCTTTTTCACGACGTTTTCCATTTATGAAGAGCAAGGATCATAGTGGAAGTGAAGATGTCAGTGCCGATGAACGTAAGTGGCCCTTTTTTTCCCGTGTTTGATCTTATTCTTAACCTGCCCTTTGTTGTGCAGTAATTTGGCTAAATTTTGTCGCAGCATAATGTGATAGTTTTTTTGTTTTGTTTTTTACCAGTGTGAGTATTACTGGACTGTTGTTGTCTTACACGTTTCAAGGTCATGAAATTGTTAAAATGATTGGCTCGTCCCTAAGCCACAGAGCACACACAATGACTATAGAGCTGTTCTAAAAGGGGTTGAGTGTGAGCTAATAACTGAAATCACAGCACTCAGAACATTCCCATAGGTGCTCCATCCTTATCTGCAGCAGCCAGCGCGGAGTTCCAAGAGTGTTGACCAGCTCACCTGGTCACTCCTAGTATACTATCTGGATTATGCATTGTTTGGTAAACTGCTTAGTGCAGAAAGGATGAATGTCATATTACTATAGAAATCCACTTATTATGAAGAATGTTTATGCATGAAATAAAATATATTGTTGCAACTGTTGAAGTTGACATATAACTTGCATGTGCACTGATTATAACTTTTCTTTTTCTACAATTTCTTACTGCATCGTGATGTAACTTGCTGGATATATAGAAGGTAATTTGTCTTCACTTTTTTCTTTAATGTTTTATCAGTTTAATCATTTATTTTGTGTAGAAACATTTTTATGAATATTTGAAGCATCTGTTTATACCCCGATGGATATACATTTGTTTTACATAAGACTATCCTTACAGCCTCTGTAATTAAATTAATTACATAAATTACATGTTTTATAGTTTTTTTTTTTAAATCTTTTCTGATTTTATACTGTAGTATTTATAGTCTGTGGATTACTTTGATTTTACGTTCAGTAGTTTGTCTTTGCTTGTTAAATGGTCAGCTTGGTACCACTGTTGAAACCAATGCAAGAGGTTCTGCTACCAAATCGTCCACAGCTGGGATCAAACCCGGCATTACAAATTGTGTTCATAGCACCTTAGCCACAGACACTGACTGTAGCTGTAGTATATGTGTGTGGGGGCATTATGGGCTGTAGTGTGTATAGCAGTATGGGCTGTAGTATGTGTGGCAGTATAGGCTGTAGTATGTGTGTCAATAGTGACAATGTAGGCTGTAGTATGTGTGTCAATAGTGACAGTGTAGGCTGTAGTATGTGTGTCAATAGTGACAGTGTAGGCTGTAGTATGTGTGTCAATAGTGACAATGTAGGCTGTAGTATGTTTGTCAATAGTGACAATGTAGGCTGTAGTATGTGTGTCAATAGTGACAGTGTAGGCTGTAGTATGTGTGTCAATAGTGACAATGTAGGCTGTAGTATGTGTGTCAATAGTGACAATGTAGGCTGTAGTATGTGTGTCAATAGTGACAGTGTAGGCTGTAGTATGTGTGTCAATAGTGACAGTGTAGGCTGTGGTGTGTGTGTAAATAGTGACCATGTAGGCTGTAGTGTGTGTGTCAATAATGACAGTGTGGGCTGTAGTATGTTGCTAATAGTAACAGTGAAGGCTGTAGTATGTGTGACAGTGTAGGCTGTAGTATGTGTGTATGTGTGTTTTCGCTGAATGTCTGTTGTGTAAGTTACATTATTGTGTGTGTAAGTTGCTTTGTGTTATGTTGATCATTTGTAAGGATGCAGGTCATTTGTAAGAATGCCCTATTATGTATGTATGTTATGTGGTCACGTTACTTAATCTACTTTGTTTTTTGTTTTTATTGAAACTGTCCTGGATCTCAGAAGGTAATTTTCAGTTATTATTTTCTCTGCTTATGCTTTGCTGAATTATTATTGCTCATATGCTGTTTATGTAGTGCAAGATATTACTTCATTTTCTATTTGTTTCTGTGTTGTAAATATAGGGTTGAATATTGTGTGTATTGTTTTATCATTGTCGGTGCGGCTGTTTCATTTGTTTATCACTAGCAGCCAATGGCACTGATGCCCAAAACATTAGTGGTGGGGGCTTTAATCCTAGCTTAAGAGCATAATAATACGATGCTGAGGAGCAAATAAAAATAATCATATATTTTAAATAATGTGTTTGTCCATCGCAAGTGATGAGGATCACTCTTTCTTTCATCCATCATGAAAACTGTAGTTTCTTTGTCAGTAAACAGTTGGGTCTGAAAGGATCTAGGACAGTGAGAACAGGGAACAGTGTCCGCAGAAATTGTTCAGTGTATATTTTAGTATTTGAAATCATGTGAAATGTTTAGCCAAAGATTCTCTTCAAGATATTTTATATAAATGGATGAAAATTGGGGGGGGGGGGGGGTGAATCCCCCACAGATATTTTGGTTTTACTGAACCCTCTTGTTATAGTGCCTATGTCTGCAACAGTATCTGTCTGTATTAACCATGGGCTTATCTGATCATGTGTTACTCCCGTCTGTTTATTAACTTCCCCTGCATCATGGGCTTTCCTCAGTCTGTATTCACCCAGTCTGTAGGTAAAGGGCCCTTTTCCACACCTTTAGGCACATTTGACATATAGGACTAGACCTATATTTTGTAGACCAATCGGCACTCGGTGGTTGATGTGGTCAGTAATCTGGTAATCTTAGTTTCAGCTTCATAGCAAACAAGTCACCCCATAGTTGCTCCGCTCCTATGCCAAGGAAAAACACAAAATGTGTATCACAGTTCAAATAAATCCACAGCTCACAGTGTCACGCCATGCACTCAACTTAGAAGCTGGGCAATGAAACTATAAATGTGGTCAACATCATGTTGGTCACCTTTACTTTCCAGAACTTTATTCAATGCCCATTTAAGGCAGCTCTTTACACCACATAGGCTTCCCAGTGTGTATGTGATGTGCTGAACCATGACCACATAATTTCCCAACTTGCTTCTTTGAATCCTTAGCCTCTGCACTCAAATGGGGGAGCCAGATGCAAATGTTTATTACTTTTTTGTTTTGTTTTAAAGACAACTGTCAACAAAAAAAAAATGGTAAAGTAAAGAGTGTAAAATCGCCAGTGGCCGTCTGTGTCTGATGGTGCAGTAGAAATAGACAACTGTAGTAAACTCTAGGACTAAAAGTTGAAGCTGTAAGGCTAAAGATTGAGGCTGTAAGAATAAAGCTGTAGGATAAATGGGTGAAGTTGTAAGATTAATGGGTGAGGCTGTAAGAGCAGTGGGTGAAGCTGCAAGACTAAAGGGTGCAGCTGTAAGACTAATTATTGAGGCTGTAAGAATAAGGCTGTAGGATAAATGGGTGAAGTTGTAAGATTAATGGGTGAGGCTGTAAGAGCAGTGGGTGAAGCTGCAAGACTAAAGGGTGCAGCTGTAAGACTAATTATTGAGGCTGTAAGAATAAGGCTGTAGGATAAATGGGTGAAGCTGTAAGATTAATGGGTGAGGCTGTAAGAGCAGTGGGTGTAGCTGCAAGACTAATGGGTGAGGCTGTAAGAATAACGGGTCAAGCTATAAGATTAACCGTTGAGCCTGTAAGACTAATTAATTTTCTAAAGGTGACAGTTCCAACACATTTGAAGAGGTAATTTATTTGTTTCCATATTCTGACTGTCATGTAGTTGTCCATGGTCTACTATCTGACCAACTGCCAGTCTTTCCCGGAAATGTAATTTTGTAGTTATTGTAACTGTTTTTAAAATCTGTTCAGCAAAGGGAAAGCATGCTTGGTGTTTAAAAAATAGTTACCGGTGTGTTAATATTCGTTATGTAATAGCTTTTTTTTTTTTTTTTGTCATTTAGAGTTGTTTGAACAAAGAAGACACAAACAATAGTCTGCACAATTTATTGCCTAGCATATTTCGCTGTATCTTGTCAGGTGCTACAGTAACAATTAATTAAACTGAAGCAAACAGCTGAATCCTAGAAACTGAAACACAAATTCGAGTACATTTCAAACTGTTTCATCAAGGCAAGCGTAGGGCAACGTCGTGTTTCAGTAGCCGTTGCCCTACGCTTAGCTTGGTGAAACAGTTTGAAATGTACTCGAATTTGTGTTTCAGTTTCTAGGATTCAGCTATTTGCTTCATTTTAATTAATTGTTACTGTAGTATGCACCTGACGAGATACAGCAAAATATGCCAGACGAAAAATTGTGCAGTCTATTGTTTGTGTCTTCTCTGTTCAAATTCACATCGGGGAAACATTGTTTTAATTAGAGTTGTATTTTCAGCTAAGATTAATAATACAGATTTTATGTTTTTAGCTTACTTTTGTGTCTCAGTCTCAGAGCTTTCCAAACTGTCGGTTGCAGTGTAAAGGTGTGTCACTCAAATACAAAGGGCTTAACAGAATAATCAGCAATTTCATGCAATATAATATTAACTTTGTTTTTATGTAGCTTAGTGGCTTTAATTGGGAGTCGCGATGGCGTTGGCGGCTAGACGCCAGCCTGAGGATAAGAAGGATGTGGGTTCGCGTCGTGACAGAGCCAGGCTTTTTCAGAAAAATTACCTTGACTCTCAGGTCGACCCAGCCTTGAGTGGGTACCAGGTGCAGTCCTGGGAAATAAAGGTGGCCAGCGAGAGGCTGAGCGTATCACCTCCCAAGTGACGATTGGTCTATTAAAAAATGTAGGTCTAGCCCTATATTCCAAATACACCCAAAGGCATTCAAAGGGGACCTTTTTTACTGGCTTTAATTGTTGGATCTTATGTTAACATGTTACACATTTCGTTTTTCATGAGTGTGGGGAGGGGGAGGGGGGTGTGAAATGTACATGTGTCTGTGTCTCTTATAAGGATTTAGTTTAACCTCTGGCTTGCTAGCAGATTGCTACCGCCGGAAAATTATATTTGCCTAAAAAGTGTGTCACCAACAGGAAAAGTATGGAAAGCTCTGCTTTTGGAAGTCATGTTACATATCAGAACATCATGGCCAGACTTTGCACATGGTGTGTCACCAACATGAAAAGTCTGGAAAGCTCTGCTCTCGGAAGTCATGTTATCATGGTGTGCATTCTGTTGTGGTATTAGAAAGTCTTTTTGTCATGGTCTTCTTCAAAGTATTTGAGGCAAAAAGTGTCACTTTTAAAACACCCTACCCAAAGGCACTGTCCAGAAAATGTCAACAGCATAAAACTGGACTTGGCGTCAAAGTCACCAGGCATAGAAAACCATTGTACCTTTGGAACCTTGGGCATTACACTGAGCTAGCTGCATATGTTATGTATGTTGTCCTAATCTACGTCACCGCACAGTGGGCATTTCTATGCGTGCTGAGTTCGCCAGTTCTGTAGCCACCCCAGGATGCCTCTGCTGATTGTTCCCATGAGGAGCTAGTTATAATGTCTCCTATCTCAGCCTTGAAGGTGGCTGGTATACGCCTGCTTCACCATTATTTACTCCCATATCATATTAGTGTCAGAGATTCATTGTTATCCACTAGCCTTCCTTCTGTCTCCAAGCTTCTTCCCACGAATGTTGATGATTTTGCTTGTCAGCTGATCCTCTGGATGCACATTTTTATGAGACCTTTGCAAACTAAAGTCAGCCTTTGTTGACTGTTTGTGGTTTTTACCAGGCAGTTTTATGTTCAAAAAGTTTGCCTTTGCTTTTTGATAGTCAACTCTCCATACCATTGTTGAAATCAATGCAAAGCGGTATGTTGCCAGATCACCTGCAGCTGAGTTGACCCAGGTATTTCATAATTACAAATTATGTTTGTGGCCTTTAAGCAACAGTCGCAGGTACATAGTACCATATATAATATTGTGTAAGTAAGGTTACTGTAATTTACCTTTGTCATGTTTATTAAGCATTGCATCACATTAGGTAGCCATTATCTGTAGTATGATTCCATTTTTTCACTGTTATTTTTCATGCTGACTTTCAACCCATACAGAAGGTAATTTTCTTTGTCCCCAGTAGTTTATACCATGTTTACCTATGTTCACAAATACCATGTTTACCTAACATATGTTCATATACTTCTCATATTAACAGCTTCGGGAATTTGGGCTTTTTTCCTCTCTGTATTTGGTGGCATCTCTTCCTTTTGGTTGCATTTTGATTATTTCGCTGATGTTTTATATACATAGGGGGGAATGTAACAGCGTAAAGTAAATATGTAAAGTAGATATTCGCATCTTTCTAGATATGGCAAATAAACTAAACGTTACGTGAGGTCAGACTGTTTAATTTGAGCTAACCTTGTGTGAACAGGGCCACAACGGAAAGTGGAAGTCATGTTACATCCTTTTGAGCCTAAAAATAATTTATACTGTGACTGCAGCTACTAAAGGGGAATTATGGCACCATAATGGCTATTAAAAGTGTCCCCCCCCCCCCCCCTACTATTTAAAGTAAATATGACCCTACCGGGTTCTTCTAAACCAGTGGCTCTCAACCTTCCTAATGCCTCGACCCTTAAATACAGTTCCCTCATGTTGTGGCGAACTCCAGACAATTAGTTTCCTTCATAACTTCAATGAATATGGGTTTTCCGATGGTCTTAGGTGACCCCTGTGAAAGGTTGAGAACAGCTGCCCGAAACGCTTGCAGTTACAGACAAAACCAGTGCCGTTAACTAGACTTGCCAAGGACTAGCCACTGCAATGAATAACGGGTAACAGTGTCGGATTAATAGGCATCTGATATTGCTATTTCAGCATTTTAGATAAAAAATTTAAAATTAGGTGAATTCAAATTAATTGTGATTTCTTCCTTTACTTAGGAAACCACATGAACCCAAACTAAAACTGGCATTTCTATCTTTATTTGAATACCAGATAAAACTGTTTTGAATTGCATTAACCCAGAATAATAAGATATCTTTATATGTTTACTTTGATAAATACTTACCCAAGGGTGTTTCTGTCATTTGGTTTCTTTCTTTGTTTTGGCTGCATTGCATAGATAATTAATTTTGTATGTGGTTAATGAAACTGTTATAGAGCTTTTGTAAACAAACGCTACTTACTAACATAATAAATTTTAAGCAGTTTAGATTTGTTTTTATTACTACATAAGCCTGTTGAAATAATGAAGGTACAAATGCTTGCACAGTCTATTACCTGGCATTTGTCACATTAAATTGTCGGTTGTTTATTACATAATTTATCTAGCCATATCACAGTCTGAGATGCTGGGGCTCACGATTCTGCTGTCCGTCGCCTAATTATAGACCATGCCGTGTGGCATTGATAGTCATGAGTGTCCACAACCATCCATCTTGTATTTTATTTATAGCTTGTGCCGTGTGGCATTGGTAGTCATGAGTGTCCACAACCATACGTCTTGTATCTTATAGCTTGTGCCATGTGGCATTGGTAGTCATGTCTGTCGACAACCATACGTCTTGTATCTTATAGCTTGTGCCATGTGGCATTGGTAGTCATGAGTGTCCACAACCACACGTCTTGTATCTTATAGCTTGTGCCATGTGGCATTGGTAGTCATGTCTGTCGACAACCATACGTCTTGTATCTTATAGCTTGTGCCATGTGGCATTGGTAATCATGTCTGTCCACAACCATACGTCTTGTATCTTATAGCTTGTGCCATGTGGCATTGGTAGTCATGTCTGTCCACAACCATCCGTCTTGTATCTTATAGCTTGTGCCATGTGGCATTGGTAGTCATGTCTGTCCACAACCATCCGTCTTGTATCTTATAGCTTGTGCCGTGTGGCATTGATAGTCATGTCTGTCCACAACCATCCGTCTTGTATCTTATAGCTTGTGCCGTGTGGCATTGGTAGTCATGTCTGTCCACAACCATCCATCTTGTATCTTATAGCTTGTGCCGTGTGGCATTGGTAGTCATGTCTGTCCACAACCATACGTCTTGTATCTTATAGCTTGTGTCATGTGGCATTGGTAGTCATGAGTGTCCACAACCATCCAGTCAGGTTGCTCTGACAGACATGATCTACCATGTTGTCAGACTGTCTGTTGGTCTCCCTTTGCCGCTCCCAACCCTCCCCCTCCCCTACTGTAACATTATGTGCTCCAGTTTTTCTCCTTCTTATGGCCAAAGAATGTAGATTGTGTCTTGCCCTTCTTCTCTGCTTCTTGCTCTTCTGGCACCTCAACTGTGGACACGACATGCTGTTGTAGAGTTTCTCTGATGTTATCTTTGCATTTTGTTCTTGGCCCACCCAGTGCCCTTGATCCATCTCCTCTTTTGGTGTGAGCCTTGTATAGTATGGCATTACAAGTCATTCTTTATGAGTGATCAAATCTTATGATTTGCTGTCTTTGTTTGTAATTTAGAATTGCTTCTGTGCCGACTTGTTCTCATATGACCTCATTCCTCATTTTATCACCCCGCAACCCTTCTCAGACATCTTATTTCCATGGTTACTGATTTTTGTTTCTGGTTTCTTATGTGTCTACGCCTGACACTGGTAGCATAGGGTTTCCTTTAGATGAGATGTTGTTTTTTTATACTAATTGTAAAATGGGCGCTAGCTGTACCAGTTGTTGGTTTGGCTGTTAATTCTTTATTTAATTAACCGTCTTCAGTGAATATTGTTAACAGGTATTTAAACTCATTAAATACTGTTGTACTCTACTGGTCTATTTAGATTCTGCTTCTTTCTTCCTATTGTCTTTTCAGTGTTGATTCTCATATTATTTGTGTCCTGTCATACACTTGTGTAAAAACTGGTAAATACAGTCAATGTTGACAGACATCGGTATATGATGAATCCCTTCCATTTAAATACACAAGTCACATAGTGTTTCACTTGTTAACCATATGGTACTTCAAAAATATTACTTCAATATACTACATAGCATATGCTTCATTGCATGTTGAGTGTAATTCTCTAGTATGCACATGACAGGTACAGTGAAATAAATCAGTGTGTTGTTTACATACTTTTCGATTTCAATTGTTACTGGGAAAACATGCTATAGAAAGATTCTCCGAATACAATAAGATATAAAATATCCAATCAGATATTTAAAATAAAGTTTGCACAAGTGCAGTCACTTTAAAAACTTTAACTCCACAGTTGATCATATATTGGTGGTATGGTCCAAAGCCTGTATTTACAGACCACTTACCTCTTAAATGATGTGGTCAGTAAGTATATCACCCAGTCTGTGCCTTTCCAGACGGTTGTAGCTATGAAAAAAAGCAGCCATAAGGAAATTTAAAAACCAGAGTCACTGTCTTTTCCTTGTATTTTTTGCTCACACAGAGCCATTGTCACATGTACTTATTGATAAACTGGGATTGATAATCGAGTGATATTCATTATGTTGTTAATGCTGTACTTTCTTATTTTTCATTCATTTGTTGCTTCTGTGAATGTGTTTGCCTCCCCCCTCCCCTCCTCCTCTTTAATTCAGTTGCCTGCTTATGTGGTTGTGGACAAATCTGTCTCTCTGCCTGATATTCTTGAGTTTGAATGCACATGATGAATCTTTAATTATTGTTTATATTTAATTTTAATTAAATGACCTACGCCTCCCAGGTCTGCCCAATCTAAAATGAGTACCAGGTATTTTCAGAGTCTTTGAAGCATTTTCTTTTGTTTATACTTTGCTTAAGAAGAGTTATAATACTAATACTTGATATGCCTATATTCAGTTTCATTTTATTTGATAAGGGGGCCATAGTTAATGTGTAGTCTGTTAAATATTTCTGCTGGGTGGATGTCAGTAGATATTGTCATGCCAGGTTATTTGATCCCCCACTGTAACTGAGCTGTATGACTGCTTTTAACTGCATTCTAAGGAAACTGTGCTGGTTTGCCTTGACCACTTGTACCATATTATACGGATTTTATTGATAATGAAGTGTGTTCGTTACTTACATATTGCTTACTGTTTTCTGTATGCGATCTGTTGGAGTGACTGTAAAGCAGTATCTGGCCACTTGTCATAGACTCAGTGGACTTCATCTTTTTCATGAGGCAGTTTTTTGTTGTTTTTTTTTTTTTTAAATAATTTTTAAATTCTTGGTTCTGTGAGCTGACTCAGTTTCAAAATATAAGTTTTCATAAATTGTTAATCAGATGTGCTAACATAGATGAGCTTTCTTAGAAGTTCAGTCATATATGCTATAATATAATAAGCTTTCATAAAAATTTGATCACATGTGCTGTAAATGATAGGCTTTCTTACAAGTGCTGTCACACATGTTGTTAATAGATTAGCTTTCTTAGAATTTGTATTGCATGTGCTACAGTAGGTAAGATTAGCTTTCCTGGCAGTTTGATCTCGTAGTCCAGACACTCACACTTCCTTTTGGTAAACACATTTTTCAAGAAAAACTTATTCTTTCCAGTTTTCCTTATTTGTTTACTCATTTGTTTTATTTACAAATTCAAATTTGTTTTTAATCATGTTCTTTCCATGTCAGAATTTAATTCTTTAAATGGTTGTCTTTAGCAGGAGCAACACATTTTATATGTGACAATGAATACATTGTTACAATTTTTCCTAATTGATAACAAAATTGGCATTTATTCCTTAAAAACACTTTTGCAATCATTACAGACATCTCTTTATCTTGCAACATTTGTTTAGTTTTGCAGTGTTTCAGTGTTTTTTAAGCAGTCATTAAACAAGTCTTTTGTCGCCTCTCTTATTACTTTTACTGGCTATAGACTGGATTATGAAAACAGTAACGGCTAACACCAAGAATGGAATTCAGTGGACCCCTACAAAACAGCTTGAGGATCTGGACTTCGCTGATACTTCTCTTCTGTCCCATTCACGGAATCAGATGCAAGATAAATGAAATATCCTTGATACGAGATCACAGCAGCTTGGTCTGAAAATCCAAAAAGGAAAGACAAAGATAATGAGAATAAATCGGGCAAATAATAATGTGGTTTCTCTTAATGGCACCCCACTGCAAGACGTGGAGTCGTACACCTATTTGGACAGTAATGTAGATAAAGATGGAGGAACTGATAAAGATATTAAAATAAGAATACAAAAGGCAAGAGGAGCTTTTATAGCACTAGGGAATTTGTGGAGGTCAAAAGAATTTAAAAGAAATACTAAACTAAAAATGTTTAATTCTAATGTCAAATCAGTACTTTTGTATGAGGCGGAAACATGGAGAACAACTAAGGCAATTACTAATAAATTACAGACATTCATTAACTGGTGCCTGCACAGAATAGAGGGAATTAAATGGTATGATAGAATAACTAATGTAGAGCCTTGTGAGAGAACTAAACTGGCTCCAGTGGACCAAGAGGTGAGGAAAAGACGCTGGCGTTGGATAAGACACACACTGAGAAAACAGGAAAACAGCATAACTAGAATGTCTTTGCATTGGAACTCACAGGGACATAGAAATCAAGGAAGGCCCAAAAAAACTTGGAGAAGAGAGCTGGAGAATGAAGTTAGAAAGATGGGAAGGACATGGAAAGAGCTCCATGTAATGGCGAAGGATAGAACGACTTGGCGTCAGTTGGTTGAGGACCTATGCTCCATTGGGGGATAGGCAGAAGAAGAAGAAACAACAAGCTAACAGTCATTCATTTGTCTCTTACAGTAAAGCCTGTGTCTGTGTGTTGCTGCTGTCTTCACCTTTTGAACTAAAGTACAGTAATCCACTAGCTAAAAGGCGGAATGCTGTTCTTTTTATGAGTGTGAATTCTGAACAAGAAGAAGAGTTCTGGTCTTCTTTTTCTTGGTGTTCACCACCTGTCGGCACAAAGTTCTGAAATTTTGTTCTAGGACTTGAGTTTTGCTTGCACATGCATTTTACAGATCTGGTTTATCTGTGCAGACTGTTGGTTCCTAACCTCTCGCGATGATGCGCGGCAACTTCGAAGCAGACTCCCCTAATAAGTTGAATTTTAATCATGCTTGTTTAAGGGGCAGTGCCCCCACCCTCACCACTACCCACACAGGAGAGTTATGGTCTAAAATATCTAGCGCACTTCAGACATCAGTGAGCATTTATAGTCAGACATATGTAAACATAACAATCTACAATCAGTTATGTGGGTTTTTTTAATAATTTTTCCCCAATCACATATTTGAGTATTTATTTATTTACCTTTTATTTTTCAAATCACGTCTGTTTGCAGTTAAAAAGTATACCTTTTTTTTTTTCTTATTTCAGTTTCTGTACTTCTTGTAAATCAGTGGCCAGTGTGCTCTTCTTCGGCATGCATTTGCAGAAATGTTACTTTTCCTTTACAAAGATTTCCTTAAAGGCTTTATCTAACCAATTGTTGCCCTTCTTCCTTCCTACAAGTTTCCAGCTGTGCTTTGTTAATTGCAACTGCCCTATGATTTTTATTTATAACCTTCAGTTTGTGAACAGACCTTTTCATTTTATTTTTTTTTAAACCTGTATGCTTTTTCTTTTCCATTTGCTGTTGAAAGGGTGGTTGGTACACAGTATTGTCATTTACAGCTAGGCTGCGATATCTACATTTTTTAACTCATTACATCCGATTTCAGCAAACCCTTTATTAGATACCTTTTGCGGCATGAGGGTTAGGGAGCTATGGATGGGTTCCTGTTTTTTTTCCTCCAAACTGGGACCCTGGAAACATTTTGAGGAACCCTTATCCAGAGAGGCTGGGGATCTGACTGGACACCATCAGAATACCAGTGTGCTTGTTTGTTTTTTGTTTTGGTGTGGGGGGACATCTTGTACATGCTCACTGAGTCTGTCACTATCAGTGTGTGACTTGCCTTCTGCTCCACCAGCCATGCAAATGCCTCTGCGACAGTTGCTGTCTCTATCATTAAGCTAGAAAAAGTTGAACTAAATGCCTGTCTTCTTTTACCGTCTTTCCATTTACCTGCGTTGTGTATGCTCACCCAGACTGCAACCCACGAATCACTGATCCATTTGTATAGCAGATGATATAACATTGCCTTGTTGGTTGACATAATCACAGCACATCCAGTTTCAGCAATACCCTAATGCTTTTATATGGCAGGCATGCTTGTTAGGTTTTTCCTCTCTTCATATTCAGACCCTGGGACCGAAACGAGAAACCCTTGTCTAAAAAAGGCTTGGGATCTGACTGCATATCATTAGAACACTAGTGTGATCTATGGGAGACCCTGAACATGCTCTGAAACCATTTAACCAGCCTGCCTGTTTGTGCTGCATGAACCCTTTTTTTTTTTTTGCCTTTACATTTTGTTGTTTTCTTTTCTTCCCCCTACCATTCAGGCAATCCACACAGTGATAGTGAAGCGAGCTATAGTGAGTAACCATTTTGTTTTGTTTATAGATTTTGTGGCATTTTCTGTTTGTAACTTCACAGATGTCCAAGTATTTGTGTACACACAGTGCATTACCTCTGTATTTGAGTGTAAAATGTATCCAATCCACAACCATTAGTTGTTTCCTAGATCCAGGCAGATCAGAGCGAGAGTTTGCAAAAAAAAAGTTTGGGGGGGGGGGGGGGGTTATGTTGGTATTTGCATTGATTCAGTCGAACCTTGGTTTTTTAACTCAGTTTGTTATAATGTAACAAATAACATAATGATATTACAAGTATGTATGCATAGTCTTAGTAGCTATTGATTTTATGGCAGTAAGATGGTTGTAAAACATTTAATCTGATCAACATAGGCAGCAGGTGTGCAAAGTTTAAGAAATGCTGCCCTAGACTGTTGGGTGCATTGAGACTAAAGTACTGGCGTACTATATAAGCTTGTTGGGTCTGAATTAGATAAGACCTGCTGGGGACACCATCCCCCCACCCCCTTTTTTGCGCTTTTTAGTAACTATATTGTAGAACTTATTCTGGCTTGTTACATACATCCAGTTTTAACATATGGCTGTGAATCCTGGACAATCGGTTGGCAGGCCAAACAATTTCTAGAGGCCTCAGAGATGTGGTTTTACAGAAGAATGCTTAGAATACCTTGGACAGCCAAAAAGAGCAACCAAGAGGTTTTGAAAGAGGCTGGAGCCCGAAGACAACTTATCACGGACATCAGAAGGAGATAGTCATCATTTTTCGGCCATGTTATGAGAAGAGGGAAAATAGAACATGTTGTGACCACTGGAAAGATCTGTGAAAGGAGGGATAGAGGAAGACAAAGAGGGTAGATTCTTTACAGTCTTGTTGCATGGAGGTGCGTTTGCACACGAACTAATACATGCTGCAGGAGAGCGCAGATTATGGAGAGGCATGATCGACCACGCCAGTCGGCAATGCACCTGATGATGATGATGATGATTGTAGAACTTATTATAATTTTTTTTTTCTCATCACAAAAAATTATTGCGTTATAAAGTTGAGATTTTTTTGTAATGCTATCACAAAACCCATTAATTGTTTTGGGGGGCCTGCTGTCCATGAAATGGGACAGACTTGGTTAGAATATTGTGTGGTTTTGAACATTTTATTCTAGAGTAGATTTGGAGTAGATCTAGAGTAGGTTGTGTTTTAGGGTATCAGTAATCTACTGGAGTATTCATTGCATTCTAGAGTACAAATTCTGTCCTAGAGGATCCGCTGACTACTAATGTAATTGTCAATTAGAGTGTTACTGACATCTGAGTTTTATTTGTATCCTGCAGTAGAAAGAAGCCTCCTCTAGAATTTTAGTTGTCTCTCATAGTGAAATGTGTGGCCTAGTCAAATTTAATTTTTTTTTTTTTTTTAGTAATTGTAATCTAGCCAGTAGATTCAGTTGTACCATACCCTAAGTCATATATGAATAGACCTACCACCCCTTCTCCTTTTCTAGTAAACATGTCATTAAAAGCTTCTGATTAGGGGCTGCTTTCTTTATAGATGGTGTGCATCTGCCTGAGAGGTGAGGAACCAGCAGTGTGCAATAAGCCAGATCTGTAAAACGGGCGTGCACACAAAATTAAAGCTCTGAAACACTACCAAAGTCCAGAAGTGGATGACAACCACAACTTTTTAATTTGGTTTTACAGATAGTGAATGCAAAGAAGTTGTACCACATGAGGGCAATTGTAGCATAGTCTTAAGCTTCAGTTGGGTTCTTTAGTGGTGCAGTATTTGATCATTACCCACAATTTATGCTGGTAACAGTTTATGGTTGGACTTGTTTCCTCTTTGATTTTAAGGTCCTGTCAGGGAATGATTGCTGTAATACTAGACAACCGTGTATGCATTGCATGACAGAAAACTGCTGACTAAAATGAATCTTAGTTTGATAATTGAAACTATAAAACAGCATATTTATTCGTGTCTCCACACGTGTTAAATGTTCAGCATTTGTATTCCTTTTCTTAGCATGTTGTGGTTTTTATGTATATTTTAAATTATGAAAAGGGACAAACATCAAATGCTGAATGATCTGGTTTTTTTTTTTTTTGTAGCTGATTGTGTGTATTTTACACTGGAATCTCATTGGTTGGTGTTAAGCCAGGTTGACTTGAAATTTTCCTGTAAGCCTCAGTGATAAAAGTAATGGGATGAGTCACCCACTATATACTTGTTTTAGGCCCTGAGTAATGCATTCTCATTCCATGTTGGTTCTATTTCAAATGCTGGTTAGTGTAATGTTGTAGTGACAGTTGTTTACCATTTTTTTTTACCCTTTACGCCCTGCGAGTGCTTAAACAAAATGGGCCGTGAACCCGTGTGAATTTCCTAAAAAATCCTTTAAAAGAGAAATATTTGACACTAGTAACTAATAAACTTTGAAAATTGATTTTTGTACTTTTTTCCCTTCAAAATATAAAGCTAGTAAACTAGAACCTATTGAAGCATTAAGTGTAATGCATTCCCTATCATCTAAAACAAATATGGCGTGACCTCTATTACTTAGGGTTTAGCTTCAGAAATGCTATTGGATTCCTAAAAGAACCTCTCTAAATACTATATTCAGTTAATGTGAATGCATATTCAAGACTCCTGAACACTATGCAGGAAGACATAGAAACAGTGACATTTAACTACACTTTTTGTTTGAAAACAAGTCACTGCAGAAATGGTGATAAATTGGTATTTACAGGGCTGTGTCACAACTGGAATTAACTAGATTTAGCATGCTTTGATGATAGGGTTAAATGCTGGGTAGTGTAGTATTTAAAAAAAAGCAGTTTTCTAAACATGAAAGCAAGAAATACATAATTGAGGGTGAGGTATGGATATAATGGCTATATTTGGAAATTAAATAATTAAGATGGTGTTTGAAAAAAAGAGGGTGAGGAATATGAACAAGTTAAATTAATATAGCTGTGTTGAATATTGATCCCTCCAGTTTGTAGCTACTGTTGTAATCAAAAGGACATTTGCTGCAATGGTAAATTACTGTGACCACATTCATTATAATGTGGATTAGAAGATCTAAGACTTGACCATGGCGCTATCTACCCTGCGATGACCTTTCCCTGGTTATAAGACACTGACTTTAAACAGTATAGATACACAGATCGTGGCAAGTATCTGACACTATTATAGGGACATTAATTTGTAAAAATGGGGGTCTCTTGGATTTTAATTTCCAGGCCAGATAAGTGAGCTTGTCAGCCAGGTGACATTTTGTTGTGGAAAACTGTCTGTATGCTGGGTGCTGATCTGGCAGTTTATAAACTATTTTAATTTCAATTTTTAACTGTATACATACATCATGTCAGTGGATAAAGGATATCAAGGACGCCATGGATATGAAAATTTATTAGGCATGAAAGTTGGCAGTTGACTGAATGCGCCAGGATGAGACCTACATTGTGTCCAGGGCCTGTTTACATAACAATGATATCATCTAAAGTAAGCTAGTCTGTGGGACATGTCATGGGCTATCCCCATTTATCTCTTGATTAGGGTTGTGTGAAATTATGGATAAAAGTAGTAAGCGGCAGAAGACTTTTGATCATTTTGACTACTAGGCAGGACAAAAATTATGCCCTCTCTGAAGTAGAGGTTGGCTGCAATGTATGCACAGCTGACTGTTGGAATATTGTGTTTTCTTTTGTGATGCGACTCGCATACTACTGTTTGAAAGCCACGAGAATGGTCTCTTTCAGAACTTTCCACTACAGGAATCAACCCTGACACCCTAAATGCACAATGGCTTTGACAGACTAACCTGCATGGGCACTGCTCTCACAGAAAGAAATAAGCAAAGTAAAATTCTATTCATATATCTGCAGAGAGCTTCTCTGTGTGTTTATAGCATGACACAGAACGATATCTATGTCATAAATGATTGGCAGTACATGAGGCAGAAGTCTGGGGACATGCACAATTACCATCACTGCGGGGCGTTGACTATAACAAATAAGAAGCTTGCTGCTATGTCTGCTTGTAAACATACATTGTTTAAGGTGGTTTGGTTTTCTTCAGAATATAAAGGCAGTTTTTGTGTGTTTTTATTATTATTAACAGTACTGACTTGTTTCGTTTAGGAGGAGATGAACCTATTTTGTCATATGAGACAGTTGTACAGCAAGAATGTAAGTAACTATATGTTTGCTTTGTCTGTGTCTTTTATTTATCTTAGTGTAAAAATCTAATGCAAAGTATCTACCAGACATACAAACAAAAGCAACCTTAATACAAGCTTGTAATTAGTTGAAGGCCTATACTCCCCTGGTATCTAATGACCAGAAAAAGTATGATAAAATCTGTGTTGTTATATGCGCGTGAGTCGTTTAAAAAAAAACCAGACAAGACTAGTTGTAAAGACCTACCCACCACAGAGATGTGGTTTTTGCGATGAATGCACAGAATATCATCGAATGATAGAAAAACAGAAGCAGGACAGATGGAAAACATAAACTGATTAGAGACTTTGTGGATGTTTTTTTTTAAATATGGATAGACATTTTGTGATAAGCAGTAGGCTTAAGTACTGTTGTATGGAGCGGAAACATGGAGAATAACTAAGGCAGTTATATGTAAACTACAAACATGCATTGGTTTCTGCGCAGAATAGAGGGAAGTAAATTGTGTGATGGAATCACTAATGTAGAGCTATGGGAGAAAACTAAACAAGTTCCAGTTGACCAAGAAGTGTAGAAAAGACACATGATTAGGGCACTTGATGAGAAAACCTGAGAACAATATAACTAGAATGTCTTTGCACTATAACTCACAGGGACATAGAAATAAAAGAAGACCAAAAAGCACATGGGGAAGGGAGCTAGAGTGAAGATAAAAAGATGGAGAGAGCTGCATGTAATAGAGAAGGATAGAACAACTTTGATTGAGTTGGTTGAGAGCTTAAGCTCCATTAAGTGCTGAAAAGGCAGAAGAAGAAGAATAGGCTCGACAGCCGGGTGGCTTGGCTGTATGAGAATGGAGCACTGACCTGATCACAACAAACTGTCATTGTATGCGATGGTTAAACATTACTGCTAATGCTTGTCGGCAGGGCACATAATGATGGTTATTTTAAATTTGTCCACTTGTACTTTCTATGCTTGTTGCATTCTCTGTTTGGGCACAGATTTGGTTGTCTTTTTCCAGATATTACAAACCAGCCCCAGATTTATTATTTATTATTGTTTTGTCATTTTAGTGAGCTTTTTTTTTTAAACTTTATATTTACTGGTTTCTCCTGGTACCCATTGGGAAAAGGAGTGGGGGATGGGGGGGGGGGGGGGGGGGGGGTTCTGCCTCTCTATCTAACAAAGTGTAAGCGACTGATTAGGGGTGTTTCCTTCAAAGACGGAGTGCATCTGCCTGATAGGCAAGGAACCAACAGTCTGCATACAGATAAGCCAGATCTGTAAAAAGAATGTGCTCACAAAACTCTGGATCCAGACCAGACAACATCCAAGAGTGGACAGTCAGAAATATTCACTGAAGTTGACAGTCGGTGAAAGAGAAGAAGAAGAAGATTACAGTGTTCGATTCATTTATAGATTGTTCAATTTGTATTAACGTTGTGTCCGCAATTTGATAGTGAAATGTAAAACTTTTTTTAAATATTTTTTTTTTAAACAAATGACATTCGACTTGTTTTACAGTTAATAATTCTGTTTTACAGTGAAATACACAAGACCTGTCATCATTTTAGGGCCTCAGAAAGATAGGGTCAACGACGATCTCATTTCAGAATTTCCAGACAAGTTTGGAAATTGTGTGCCCCGTAAGTAACATGAAGTCATGTGTGTGTGCGCGCGCCTTTGTTCTTTCTTTCAAATTCAGGTCTGTCTCTCTCTCTCTCTTTCTCTCTCTCTCTCTCTCTCTCTCTCTCTCTCTCTCTCTCTCTCTATTTTGTAAGAGGTCAAACTGTGATTGGACTGTTCAATGGAAGGATGGAAAAGACATGCACAAATTCCCTGTGTTGGTCCCGGGGGCCCCTTTGAAGGGGAAACCAGAATAGACCCACTACCTCCCCAACAAGCATGTCTTAAGAGTCGACTAATTCGGGGCTCCCTTCAGAGTCAGAGTGCATCTGCCTGAGAGGCAAGGAACCAACAGTCTGCATACAAAATAAGCCAGATCTGTCAAACACATGGATGCAGCACTCAGGTGCTAGAACAAGACTAAATAAAGTCCAGAGGTGGACAAACAACCAGAACTTTTTCTGAGTTTATTGATGGTAAACATGAAGAAGAAGATAACCAAACGCTTTAACCGCAGTCTTTATTACCAGGGTACTAAATATATTCTCATTTTTATCACCAGGGTACTAGCTACTGTATGTAGTGAGGCCTCAATCTTATCCTCTATGCTGCTCTGGTACCACTGTCCGAAAGCCATGAAACTGGTCTTTTTTCTAAACTGCTCTCCACACAGATTGTGCCCTGGTAAACATTGAATATTGCATTATGAAACACTTTCACCAACCAAGGAATAGTTAAATTAGCTGTAAATCAAAGGAAGATGTGTTCCTTGGTTCACACATCGGAGTCCAGGGCACCCATTGGCTGGCCAGTAGACTTCACCGACAGTCAGGACAGTGTTTTGGTCTGTCTCCTTTGATTGCATCAACACCGCAAGGGTGCTTTGGGCTACTTGGTGGCAAGCAGTGTTAATTCATTTTATATGGTGCAAATAACCCAGTCACAATTATTACTATAAGCTTCCCCTTCAGTTAAAACCTGGTGATTTGTGTGTGTGTGTGTGTGCAAAACAAGGCAAGGTCCTTTGGTTCCCCTAAAGTCTATTTGTATACTATACTATTTATCCCATTTATGATAAACTGGACAGTGTTTGTTGCTCAGATACAACTAGGGAAAGGAGTACTTTAGCTGTAAATTATAACAAGATGCTTTCCTTGGTACCCAGAGAGTTAAAAGTCGAGTTTATTTTTATGCTGCCCTCATTTATGTTAGACAATGTTTGTGTTTGTTGCTCAGATACAACCCGGGAAAGGAGGCCACACGAGGAAGATGGCAGAGATTATCATTTTGTTGCTTCCCGGGAACAGATGGAGCGAGATATCCAGAACCATTTATTTATTGAAGCTGGCATTTACAATGACAACCTTTATGGCACCAGTGTTGCCTCAGTGAAGCAGGTGGCGGAGCAGGTTAGTGTTTCCCTTAAAGCTGTATGTCTTTTTCCTCAGCTTTAAGGAATGCACTTTTTAATTTTACTCATTATTTATTTCTGGGAGTCGCTGTGGCGTAGCGGCTAGACGCTCGCATGCGAATCGAAAGGTCATGGGTTCGCTTCCTGGCGGAAGCGGATTTTTTTTTTTTTTTTAAATAACCTTGACTCCCAGGTCAACAAGGTCAACACAGCCTTGAATGGGTACCAGATGCAGTCGCAGGAAGTAAAGACGTCCGGTGTGATGCTCACTATATCGCCCATTTTGTGCCGATTGGCCTATTAAAATATAGGTCTAGCCCTAAATGCCCTATACGCCCAAAGGCATGGAAAAGGGACCGTCACTTTTCTTTTTTAAATTGTATTTCTACCTTTTTGTATCATAGTTGGTTTTGCTGTAGGTTCCCCTGTACTTACTTACTCTTCTCTATCTACCTACCTACCTATCTGTCCTACAAATCTCCCTAGATGCCCATCCACTATATATCTGGTCTGCCTGTCCTTGGCAGATCACTTTGCTATTTGTTTGTTCACCATACGTTTCTAAATATCCATCAAGAAGAGATAATAAAACTGAATGAAAAGTTTATACCAGCAAGCTCAACGACATAACAACACAAACAAAATGTGAACGTTGCCGCTATGTGAATAAATACCTATCAGTATAACACATGTCTTACTCTTGTCCTGTTTGATCTGTCTCACATATCTTTCCCCTGACTGTTGTTTTTCTGTTCTATCCTCTGTCTTATCTTCCTGGCAATCTAGATAGAATCTAGTTACGGCTCAGTGGTATTTATTCACACCCAGCGTTTGTTTATTGAGAAACTTCTCACTCTGGCCTTGTTCATTGAGAAACTTCTCAGTGTTCAACAGCTGTACACTCTGGCCTTAAGTACTCGTTGTTTTTCTATTTCTGGACTTTGGACGTTTTCCAGAACTTAAGTTTTTGGTACACATCTGTTTTACAGAGATCTGGCATATTTGTGTGCAGGCGGTTGGATCCCCTATAAGACACATGCTGCACTCCGATTTTGAAGGAAACACCTCTTACATGCTTGTTGGGATGGGAGGAGGGGGGGGGGGGGGTCGGGGCAGTGGGTCTGGCTCCCACCTAATGCAGTCCAGGAGCCCAAACAGGGAATTTATAAAGGTTGAAATAAGTTATGAATTATGTTAGTGATTCGGTGGCTGTATTGTCACCGGTGGCTCGTGTACTTTCATCAAACTCACAGAGTCACTTATATCCTGTGCCCATCTTCATGTTGGTCAGCCCCTGCCCTTCCTTCCTGGAATCATACCTTCTGCTATAATTTTTTTCAATCCGTCGTGGCGCTTGATATGACCAAAATATTTCAGCTTCCGAGACAGGATGCTGTTTATTGGTCAATCTTCCTTGATGTTTAGATCTTTCAAGATGTCACTATTTCTCCTCTTTGTCCAAGATATTCTGAGAATCTTTCTGTAGAATTTCAGCTCAAAAGCGCCTATTCTCTTTCTTAAGGACTGGGAGATAGTCCCCGACTCACATCCGTATGTTGCTTCAGGGAAGATGCATGCTACCAAAATTAGAATTTTGATCTTCTTGTCTGCTTAACCATAGACTTTTTAGGCTGAGTAATCTTTGCATTGCTATGGCCATCCTCCTTTTAATTTCTGTCAAACAGTCTCCATTGCTATTTATTATAGAGCCTAGATATTCAAAGTTTGTGACATTTTTTATTTTTTTACTATTTATTGTTATTTTTGGGCAACAGCCAGTTTTATCTGTGGACATAATTTTCATTTTCTTTCAATTCAAGAACAGATTTTGATCTTCATTACTGCCTGAGTAAATGTGTGACTCCACACCCAAATATATAAACATTTTTTACTGAGCACATATTGCATGTATTGTTATTATGGTGGTGATTGATTTTGCTACATTCCCACTGATAGAAATTGAGAAGTTGTGTATTATTCATGGTTCTGTTGTTCATTCCTCAGGGCAAACATTGTATACTAGATGTCAGTGGAAATGCTATTAAAAGATTGCAAGTTGCTGGCCTCTACCCAATTGCCATATTTATTAAACCAAAGTCCATCGACTCCATAATGTGAGTGCTGAATTTGTGTTGTTATGTTTGTATTGTATTTGAATCCATTACCTTATGCATATACTACTATTAGTTTTTGTGTCTTATGGTTAGTTCAGTAGTGTATCTGACTACTGGTATATGGGTCTGGGTTCAGTCCTTGATTGAAGAAGAGATTTCCCTTATAGTTCTGTTTGCCCAAAAATATAAGACCAGGTCTTATACTAATTTTTGCTTCTATAGATGCACTAGGGCTTATTTTTGGGTAATGTCTTTTTCAGATAAAAAAAAATCTTCATTTTTTTTTTTTTAAAGTCTTGTCATATTCTTCTGGAATATTGTTATAACTCTACAAATCCTAAATTCGGGACTCAGTTTCATGCGATTACATATCCTGTCGGATTTTTTCGTGGTATGGGGTGTGGCAGGTCGACCCAGCCTAAAATGGCTACCTGGATGTATGTCCTGGGAAAGTAAAGACGGCCTGTGTAATGCTGACCACATTACCCACCTAGTATCGATTGATCTGTGAAAATATGGGAGCTCTTCCCATATACCCGATGCGCCTAAAGCAAGAAAAGGGATCTTTACTTACATTTCCTGTACAACCATGGTTCAATTATCGTTGAAAATCAACCAGGGATGATTTTTGGTGAAAGTCTTAAGGTTTGGGAAACATGGTAGATTTGTGGAAATGGTTACCTGAATTATCTGGTAAGAAAGACAGCTTAGTTTATGTTCACTGTCCATCACATTTACAGTAGTATCACTGGAACAGTTGCCTCCTCTTTTGCTGCTTTTTCTTCTTCATTTTCAGATGCTTAGTCTGATGCAGGCATTGATGATCATGACTTTCCTGTCCTCTCTATTATTGTATTGTTTTGCAAGGCATCCATTTAAACTATTTAATTTCTACATTCTACTATGGTACCGGGTTTTATACTGAAGATCGCTGATCAATAAAATACTGTCAAATTGACTGTGCATTTATTGGTTACTATGGAAATCAAGATAAACAGTGACCAGATTGGATTTCTTAGGAATGGTCAAAAACCATAATTTTTCTATGTGCAGGCCACATTTTCTTAAGGGAGAAGAGGGAGGGTGTCATGTCAATGAGGTCTTATAATCCTGTGACAAGTTTATCATAATGCAGTCAGAGTTTTTTGTTGAACAAGGTGTGATTCTGTCTCTGACCCTAGGGAGATGAACAAAAGGATAACAGAAGAGCAAGCCAGAAAAACGTACGAGAGAGCACTCAAGCTAGAAGCAGAATTTGGAGAATATTTCACAGGTTTGTGCAGTAGTTTGTTGTTATTTTTTCAAAGTGTAATGTCAAAATTGCACTTTTGGACTGAACAATGCATTCCTTGTTATCAGCACTCCCTTGTTGGTTCCAGAGTCCCATTTGGGGTGGAGAGGGGTTCCGGGGAGGGAGGGGGATCGTAGTCTCACTGCCTTCCCAATAAGCATGTTGTAAAAGGTGATGAGTTTAGGGACATTTCCTTTGAAGGCAGGGTGCATCTGCCCGAGAGATGAGAAGCCAGCAGTCTGCAAACAACAAAACCTAGATATGTGAAACGGATGTGCATACAAAAATTAGGTTCTGGGACAAGACCAAAGTACAGAAGTGTACCAACAACCAGAACTTTCTGCTGGAGTTTACAGCCAGTAAGTGCTGTGAAACACTTAAACAGAACAGACCAAGTCACAGTTTTTCGCTTACGTACTGGACACTGCAGACTCAATAAACACCCACATCAATTAGATATGAGCCAAACAGCTCTCTGCCAGTGTCTTCGTGCTGAACAGACTCCAGAACACGTCCTGCAAGACTGTCCTCTCCTGGCGGAGCTGCGGAGCAACATATGGCAACACCCAGTAGAACTGACAACTTAGCTTTGGGGAAACCTAAGAGACCTTGAAAAGACATCCCAGTTCATGACCCACAGTGGATTATGCGCATGACCAGAGATCGCTGAAGAAGAAGAATGCTGTGAAGAAGAAATCAGCATACAATTTTCAGGTTGCAGTAGCATTGCGACCTCTGTTATTCATAGCTGTTATAGTAAGTTATTGGCAGTTTGTAAAAATACAGCTGTTGTAGTCTTTTCTCAACATTTTAAACTTCTTTGCATTAAACTCCAGTAGAAAGTTATGTTCATCCCCTTCTGAACGTCATTCTTGCTTCACAACTTGAGTTTCGCATGCTCGTCCGTTTTACACATCTGGCTTATTTTTTCTGCAAACTGTTGGTTCCTCGCCCCTCGGGCAGATGCTGTCCAACTTCTGAGGGAACATTCCTAATTAGTCTACTCTTACAACATGTTTGTTGGGGGCAGTGATTCCCCCACCCCACACACAATGAGGCTTTGAAAACACATGAGGACAACATTGTAAACATACTGGGTGGGGAGTATTTCACAGGTGTGTGTGGTGGTCATTTATTGTGATAGAAGTAGCCTACTCTTGATTATGTAAAATATTATGTAGAACATTTTACACACTTCTGTAGTAGTTCTTAATTAAATCAGTCTTGATCCTACAAAATTTATGTAGAGATTTGTATAGATTTTCAAATATTCTCTTGTGTCTAAGTAAACCCAGCCTATGCTACCAGTGCCAGGCATGGTCACTCACAGCAAAACATAAAAGAAAATTAGTAACCATGGAAATTAGGTGTCTGGGAAAGGCTGTAGGAGTGACCAGAAGAGATAAAATCAGAAATGAGATCAAACAAGATAAAGTCAGCACAGAACTAATTCTAAATTACATAGAAAGACAGCAAATCAAATGGTTTGCTCACTTGGAGAGAAGGCCTTCTGATGTTATACCATTGAAGGCATATACCAAAAGAGAAGAGGGATGTAGAGCAAGAGGTAGACCAAGAACCATATGGAAAGATAACGTCAGGGAAACTCTACAGTACCATGATGTGTCTTTGATCGAAGCACCCAGAGGAGCTCGAAGCAGGACCTTATATCTCCCTCAACACTTGAAGCGGTAAAAGAGGACGTAAAGAAGAAGAAGTCTTAAGTAAGCGGCTTCAAACCCTCATATTTTCTGTACAGTTTCTGCCTTCATAAACGGCTGTCTACTGCTTCTGTCATCATAAGCATCTAGGTTTTTATGTGTTCTTTACTGCTTCTGCGCTGTCATAAACATCTAGATTGTTATATACTTCTTATACTACTACTTCTTTTATAAACAGGTAGATTTGTCATGTGTTCTCTGTTATTTCTGCGTTCTCATATGGGTGCTGGGATCCCATGAGATGAATAAAAAAAGACTAATTAGAGGTGCTTCTTCCTTTAAAGTAGGAGTGCTTCTGCCTGAGATGCAAAGAACAAGCAGTCTGCGTACAAATAAGCCAGTTTGTAAAATGGATGTGCATGCAGAATTCAAGTTCTGGAACAAGACTAAATTCCAGAAGTGGATGAACGACCAGAACATTCTGCCAGATTTTACAGCCAGCGAGCACCAAGAAGAGGAAGACTTCTGCTTTCATAATTATCTGTGTGTTTGTTAAATTCTCACTCTCCGTTGCCTTCATTTTCATGCTGACATATTTCTGCTCTGCAGCTGTTGTTCAGGGAGATACCCCAGAAGAGATCTACTCAAAGATCAAAGAAGTCATTAGCGACCAGTCGGGTCCTCATATTTGGGTTCCAGCCAAAGACAAGCTCTGAGACCACATCCCACCACCTCATCATCACCATGCTCCATTTGGTCATTGTTGTACATTTTGTGTACTCATCCATGCGTATTATGTTTCATCAGCTTGTCTATTATTCATGACATATACAGGCCATCAGTATATAAATTGTACATTATTGTATACATATTGACATTAAATCAATTAACCATTATTTTACCATGTGTACATCCACGTTTTTTTTAAATATTTTGTCCATACATTCTGCTCTTTTAATGATAACATTATTGTATAAATTTACTTCAGCGTCGGTTAATGTACATATCTTATCGTGTCGTATGCTGCAGCGTAGTGTATGTAGCAAAATTAGAAACTTTGATGGCTAGAATATGTGGGATGTCAGTGAGAAACCTGGGATATCGTGTTAGCAGGTGACGATTTGACACTGGGTGAATGCTGTGTCGAGGTACATTGCTTTCATTGACTGTGTGCATGATGAACTAGCAATTTTAATCAATGTTGTAAACTTACATATATATATATATATGCATTTTTAATTACAAAGCTCAGAGGTTATGAAGATTGAGCACAGGACTGATATAGTCTCACGAAACTGCTTGAAAGAAACTGCTGTCATTATGAAGATATTGTCCTTCACTCCATGGTCACACTATGGACATTTGCCAGTCGGATTTGCTTGATGTCTCTGTAAAATCACATTAGATCTAAATCAGCTGCCTTCTCATTTTAGTCTCTGTAAAATCGCACCAGATCTCAGTCAGCTGCCCTCTCATTTTAGTCTCTGTAAAATCACACTAGATCTAAATCAGTTGCCCTTTTTTTTTAGTCACTGTAAAATTTCACCAGATCTCAGTCAGTTCCCCTCTTATTTTAGTCTTTAAAATCGCACCAGATCTCAGTCAGCTGCCTTCTCATTTTGGTCTCTGTAAAATCGTACCAGGTCTCAGTCAGCTGCCTTCTCATTTTGGTCTCTGTAAAATCGTACCAGGTCTCAGTCAGCTGCCTTCTCATTTTCATCTCTGTAAAATCGTACCAGGTCTCAGTCAGCTGCCTTCTCATTTTAGTCACTGTAAAATTGTACCAGATCTCAGTCAGTTGCCCTCTTATTTTAGTCTCTAAAATCGCACCAGATCTCAATCAGTTGCCCTCTTATTTTCGTCTCTAAAATCGCACCAGATCTCAGTCAGCTGCCTTCTCATTTTCGTCTCTGCAAAATCACACCAGGTCTCAGTCAGCTGCCTTCTCATTTTCGTCTCTGTAAAAGCGTACCAGGTCTCAGTCAGCTGCCTTCTCATTTTCGTCTCTGTAAAATCGTACCGGGTCTCAGTCAGCTGCCTTCTCATTTTCATCTCTGTAAAATCGTACCAGGTCTCAGTCAGCTGCCTTCTCATTTTCGTCTCTGTAAAATCGTACCAGGTCTCAGTCAGCTGCCTTCTCATTTTCATCTCTGTAAAATCGCACCAGATCTCAGTCAGCTGCCTTCTCATTTTGGTCTCTGTAAAATCGTACCAGGTCTCAGTCAGCTGCCTTCTCATTTTGGTCTCTGTAAAATCGTACCAGGTCTCAGTCAGCTGCCTTCTCATTTTCATCTCTGTAAAATCGTACCAGGTCTCAGTCAGCTGCCTTCTCATTTTAGTCACTGTAAAATTGTACCAGATCTCAGTCAGTTGCCCTCTTATTTTAGTCTCTAAAATCGCACCAGATCTCAATCAGTTGCCCTCTTATTTTCGTCTCTAAAATCGCACCAGATCTCAGTCAGCTGCCTTCTCATTTTCGTCTCTGCAAAATCACACCAGGTCTCAGTCAGCTGCCTTCTCATTTTCGTCTCTGTAAAAGCGTACCAATTCTCAGTCAGCTGCCTTCTCATTTTCGTCTCTGTAAAATCGTACCGGGTCTCAGTCAGCTGCCTTCTCATTTTCATCTCTGTAAAATCGTACCAGGTCTCAGTCAGCTGCCTTCTCATTTTCGTCTCTGTAAAATCGTACCAGGTCTCAGTCAGCTGCCTTCTCATTTTCATCTCTGTAAAATCGTACCAGGTCTCAGTCAGCTGCCTTCTCATTTTAGTCACTGTAAAATTGCACCAGATCTCAGTCAGTTGCCCTCTTATTTTAGTCTGTAAAATCGCACCAGATCTCAGTGATATCCTGACAGTCCCACTCTGGCTGTGTAAGTTCACATATAATGTTGCTTGTAAGCCTTTTTGTGTCTCACACTGTGAGTGAAGTTCAACCCCACCAGGACCACACAATGAGCGATAAACACCCAGTGACACAAAGTGCCACTATTCAGATGAGAATCACCCAGGTACAAGTCCCAGCAACCCCTTTCAACCATTAGGTTATGTTAGGGCCCCAAATTACAGCTGGGGTGTGGCTTTAAAATAACAAAATATTGCATCCCATATTGGGGCCAGTTTTCATCTGTAACTAACACTGATTTCCATTGGCACATAAATAGAGCAGTTATGAGGCGTACCCTCTGTAGTGATGTTGAAACCTTGACATTCTCACCATCAGTGGTCATACTTTTTCTTCTCCTCATTCTCTGCAGAAAGTACTAGTTGGTCTTCCATTTGTGGACTTCAGACTTGTTCTAGAACTTCAGTTTGCCTGCACATC